GGCCCGAGTGCCTCCTCGTACCCTCGCAGCGCCCGCAAGTACATCTGCTCTGCCTCGCCCAGCTTACCTTGGTTCTTGTAGAGGTTGCCCAGGTTGTTGACCGTGTCCAGTGTCGATGTGTGGCTAGGCCCGAGTGCCTCTTCTTTTCCTCGCAGCGCCCGCTCGTACATCTGCTCTGCTTCGTCCAGCTTGCCTTGGTTGTAGTAGAGGTTGCCTAGAAGATTCATAGCATTAAGAATAGTCTCTCGCTCTTCGCCTTCATCGACGTCTCGATCACTACCTCCCTCAGCTCTTCCACGCCAAACTGCCTCGCTCCTGACTATCTGACTAAAGCACGTCTGCGCGTGTGGAAGAAGCCGTCTTTGCAGCGCAGCATAGTCTCGAGTAGAGCTGTCCGGCACAGCCCAACCAACAGCAACCACCGCCAGTCGACCTAGCTCTGTTGCGAAGCGCTTGCCTTGCGAGTGATGCGCCCACTGGTGTACCACTGGATGTGTTGCATAGCTCCCCGACTCTTGCATCTGCTCTACTAGCGAGTAGTTACACAGCAGCTGCATCGCTCTGCTGAACTTGATCTCGCTGCTCGCAATGTCTCCGACCCACCCTAATAGTATTTTTGCAGCTACAGCAGACCTCCTGCATGCTGTAGCAAACAAGCCATACCAAAGGTCTTTGTTGTCTAGGAACGACCACAGCAGCAGCAGGTTGGCCGTATATTCATGTCTGTCGCGGATCGCCTGGTACGAGATGGCCCACGTCGTCCACACGCTGCGCTCTGGGTAGTCCTGAAGCGGTGCATCACCTTCGTGGCCCACCTCCATCAGCTCGCTCCACTGCTGCTCGTAGAACCTCAGATACGTCGTTAGCCCTACTCCGCTCTCCTGCAGGTACGCACCCGCCTGGGCAATCGCGAGCGGGAGGCCGTCTAGCATCCGTAGCAGCCGCTCGCTCTCAGCTGCATCTATGATTGCACTGTTAGCTATACCAACCCGTCTCTAAGCACTCACTACTTCTAGCTTACCATCCTTCTTCCTGTACCAGCCCTCCAAGATGGCCTGTCCCTGTTCTGTAGACACCTTGCCCAGCTGCTGCGACTCGCCCAGCTGCTCCAGCCGTGCCAGTCGAGTCGTCACCAGCACTGACCCGTGGTCTGCGCCAGAGAAGTAGCGCCTCACGTCGTACGCATCAGAGTCGCCCCCTTTCACCGCGTACTCTCGGTCGACGTTGTCGAAGATAAGCAGCCAGGCTGTGTTGTCAGGCCGTGCAAGCCAGGCTATGACGTCTTTAACTACTGCATCTATATCAGCGCTAGCATCTGCTGCGTATTGCCTGCTTGTCTCAGGGATCTGGCCTTGCGGGATCCTGCCTGCGCAGCTCGCGATGCTGCGCTTAAGGATGTCCTCGCTGCGTCCGTCAAGCCAGAGCACCGAGCTGAACCGGCGGTGGTGTCGTCGGGCAAACTCGACCGCCAGCTGCGTCTTGCCCATCCCGCCAAGACCACGCAGCACGTGTATCTTCTGGCGCTGGTCGTGCCCTGGTTGTGGCAAGAGCACGCGTTCGAGCTCTGCCATCTCCGCTGGCCTATCCACAAACTGACGCACTCTTGGCACGCCCTCGAGGCTAAAGTTAGTCTTATATTCTCCAAAGTCTATACATGCTTTAGCTACAGTGCTTAAATAGTAAAGACGATAACTACACTAACACTCTCGGCCTGCAATGCTGCCCGCGCATGCCTGCATCTGCTGGTGCACCTCCTGCGAGCTGATGTACCGTCGCGTTGCCGCCGCCATCTCCTTAACCTTCTTCGCCTCCTCCAGCCCAATGTCTTCCAGGCCTCGCGCTACGTTGAACCGGTAGTACCGCCCCGTGCTGTCTAGCAGCCCCCGCTCGCGCCGGAACCGCTCTGCCGTCTGCTCCGTCTCTGTGGCTATCGCAGCCAGCGTCTTACCAATCTGAAAGACGTCGTCCTTGAACGCCTTAAGCGACGGCACTCCCGTCCCGATCGAGACCACGCACTTGACCTTGCCCTCTAGTGGCTCAGGGCCCCACGCTAGCTGTGCCTGGTCCCACAGCTCCCGCACTGGGTTATTTGCGCCTGTCGCTCCGTCCACAAACTCCTCGCTAAACCGACCGACGGCGATGGGGTCGAAGAAAGAGGTGGCTGCAGAGGTGGCTCGGCAGGCCTCCCATACCGTCACGCTGTTTAGTAGATCGCTGCTGCCGCGCGGTGTGCGGTAGCTCGCGAGGCAGACGGTCTCGCTCGTCTCCTTGCTCGTAGCACACACGAAGCTGTAGTGGTTAGCCTACATTCTAGTTAGAAGTGCGCCCTAGCCTACACTTTGCACTCTGCTTCAGGCACATCCTTAAGTAGCGCGTCCTCCTTCATGCCTTGCTGCTTCACTACCTCCTTTACTGCCCGCGCCAGCTCCTCTGCGTCGAACCGGCCCTGCACCTGGCCCTTGACCGTCACTCGGTGTCGTGTCTTGCGGAATACGCGGTCGGAGAGTGACAAGTACGCGGTGATACAGTCGGCAACGCTCATCTTCAGCCGGCCCAGCATGATGGCGATTAGGCTGAGGGTCAAATGTCAGCGCTCTTCGCACATAATGATAACCTAGTAGGTACTAACCCGCCCGTACTTGTGCCCCCGATCATGTCAAAATAGTCGCATGGCTTTGGTGGCGCGTCAGGGTTGACGGCCTCCATCAGCTGCTCAAGGATCATCAAGGCGGACAGACCGCGCACGCCGCCGCCGTCGAGGGCAAGCAGGCGCAGGTCGCTGCCGGGCATGGTGCGTGTTCGTCAAGCGGCAGGAGGAAGAGGACTGAAGTCGGATGATAGATTGAGTATAGCATCTTATCTATATGCTGGCGGTTGCCTCAAGGCTGGGATTGCGGCGCAGTGTTTCGGCCCCCAGCGCGTGCGGCTGAGGCGCGCGTCTCTGCGTCCTGCAGCTCTTCTCTATAGCATAGTTGTAATCAAGAATCTTGTAATATGATTAATAGCTATTTCTCTATATAGTTAACGTTGTTTTCTATAAAGACTACCCGTGCTAAGAGGACTTTACAGTACACTATAAGATACTTAGTAATACTTGTAAGAAACAAGTCTAGAATTTCTATAGGCAGGAAGTAAAGGTCATGCTGACTAGAGCTAGAGCGAGTAAGGAAAAGCCTGCGCTAAGCGAGACAGGGGTGAGCGTGGGATGACAACAAAGCCGCGTGCGCAAAGCGGAAGCTGCAAATGCATGAGAGTGTATTCAGTAGCGTACCTAATATAGACCAGACCAACTGTATGCAGTAGCGAATCGCTAGCGACTGACTGTATATCGCAACGGACCGAAAATACTGTTGTGTGGATGAGTTTGCGATCTGGACGCGTGAGAGAGATGGCCATCTCGACCCCTGAACGCGACCGCGACCACGAAGCGACATCCCTGCCAACCGAGCTACCAGCACCACT